GCATCACCACCAAACCAGTATTATATGAAATGCTGAAAGGTATCCTTTAAGAAGAGGAAGAAGAAGAAAAAGGTAAAGATACAAATTATGAACAACAAACATGCATCTATCAACAATTGAATCTAAGAATCAAGTGAATAAATAATCTGGTGATCATAATAGAATCAGGGATAGAAAGGGAATGGACTGACTATTCTTGGGGGGGAAAGGGGTGTGGGAGATGCGGGAAGAGACTGGACAAAAATCGTGCACCTATGGATGAGGACAGTGGGTGGGGAGTGAGGTCGGAGGGTGGGGTGGGAACTGGGAGGAGGGGAGTTATGAGGGGAAAAAGAGGAACAAATGTAATAATCTGAACAATAAAGATTTAATTAAAAAAAATAAAAATATCCTATGTAATAAAAGGCAAATATGCAAATTGTCCCATTGACCACCGGGAGTTCGACTGGGAGTTCGACCAGGGGGTGGGGCAGGGTGGCCTGACCCCACCCAAGCACGAATTCGTGCACCAGGCCTCTAGTTTATAGATATGTGTATATACCAGGGTTAGTACACGTACTTACCTATATTCCCTTGTTTCTCCAGCTGGGAGGGTTGACACCCTCATAAAAGAGCACACATACACATAGCACCTAGATTGTGGTTTCTAGTATATTTTCCAATAAAAGAAACCAAAGCTCCTTTGAGAAATGGCAGATTCTAGGGCTGATACATGAAATATACCAGATGAGCCTAGAACACCTTGTAGAACCAGAAAGTGAGTTAGTGATGAAGACAAACAAAATCCCCACAATTATGGGAGATGTCCAAAGGACACAGAACCAACTCAAAGAGCTCCTAAAGCCAAAGCTAGAACAAATGAAGCAATAAGATTAATAAAGTGTTCCTGGATTATAGCCCAAATCTCCCATGCAGAAGAATTCCAAAAAATCTGAGTAAATACTCTGCTCTTGCCCAGCGGGCGTGGCTCAGTGGTTGAGCTTCCACCTATGAACCAGAAGGTCATTGTTTGATTCCCAGTCAGGGCACATGCCCAGATTGTAAGCTCTATCCCCAGTGAGGGGCATGCAGGAGACCGCCCATCAATGATTCTGACTCATTATTGATGTTTCTGTCTCCCTCTCCCTCTCCCTTCCTCTCTGAAATCAATAAAAATTTTTTTTAAAAAATACACTGCTCTTAAAGAGGTGGCATAACTCCCCACTCCTTAAGTGTGATCTGTGCACAGTGACCTCCTTCCAAATAGTACCGTATCAAAAGGGGGAAATGAGTAACAGTGGAGAAACTGACAAGGACTACCTCAGCCAGGTGATCAAGGTCAACATCAACAGTGCTAGGTCATGTCCATGGCATGTATCCTTAAAATGATGCAACGAAATGGCACTTCAGTTCTCTGATCTCCCTCTCCAAAACTCAGAACTCCAGTCTAGTCATAAAATAAACATCAGCCCTAACCAGTTTGGCTCAGTGGATGGAGCGTCGGCTTGCGGACTCAAGGGTCCCAGGTTCGATTCTGGTCAAGGGCATGCACCTGGGTTGCGGGCACATCCCCAGTAGGAGATGTGCAGGAGGCAGCTGATTGATGTTTCTCTCTCATCGATGTTTCTAACTCTCTATCCCTCTCCCTTCCTCTCTGTAAAAAAAAAAATCAATAAAATTTAAATAAATAAATAAAAAGGTAAAAAATTAAGGCCACTTATTTAAAAAAAGAGAAAAAAAGAAAGAAAACATCAGGTACATGCCAGATGAGGGACATTCTACAAAATAATTAACTAGTATTCCTCAAAACTGTCAAGGTCATCAAAAACAAGGGAAGGCTGAGAAACTGTTAAGGAGTCCTGGCTGGTGTGGCTCAGTTGTCAGAGTGTTGGCCTGCATATCGAAGGGTCACAGGTTCAATTCCCGGTCAAGGACACGTACCTGGGTTAAAGGTTCAATCCCTGGCCCCAGTTAGGGTGCATGCGGGAGACAATCAATTGATGTGTCTCTCTCACATTGATATCTCTCTCTCTCTCTCTCTCTCTCTCTCTCTCTCTCTCTCTCCCTCCCTCCCTTCACTCTTTCTAAAACTCAATGAAAAAA